ACACACACACACACATGTGGTTTTAGGGTTTTCAAAATGGCTCAGTACAGTTTCTATATAAACACACACAAGGCCTTAGGGTTTCCATAATGGCTCAGTACAGTTTTTAGGTAAACACATACATGTGGCTTTAAGGTTTGCTAAATAGCTCAGTACAGTTTATATATATACAAACACACACACACACACACAAGTGGCTTTAGGGTTTGGAAAATGGCTTGGTATAATCTTTGGATAAACACACACATGGCTTTAGGGTTTGCAAAATGGCTCAGTAGAGTTTTTATATTAACACACACACGTGGTTTTAGGGTTTGCAAAATAGCTCAGTACAGTTTCTATATAAACACACACACACACATGTGGTTTTAGGGTTTTCAAAATGGCTCAGTACAGTTTATATATAAACACACACACACATCGTTTTAGGGTTTGCAAAATGGCTCAGTACAGTTTATATATAAACACACACACACATCGTTTTAGGGTTTGCAAAATGGCTCAGTACAGTTTATATATAAACACACACACACAGCTTTGTTTGCTAAATGACTCAGTACAGTTTCTATGTAAACACACACAAGGCTTTAGGGTTTCCATAATGGCTCAGTACAGTTTTTAGGTAAACACATACATGTGGCTTTAAGGTTTACTAAATGACTCAGTACATTTTCTATATAAACACACACAAGGCCTTAGGGTTTCCATAATGGCTTGGTATAGTTTTTAGGTAAACACATACATGTGGCTTTAAGGTTTGCTAAATAGCTCAGTACAGTTTATATATAAACACACACAAGGCTTTAGGGTTTCCATAATGGCTCAGTACAGTTTTTAGGTAAACACATACATGTGGCTTTAAGGTTTGCTAAATAGCTCAGTACAGTTTATATATACAAACACACACACACAAGTGGCTTTAGGGTTTGGAAAATGGCTTAGTACAGTTTTTAGGTAAACACATACATGTACTTTAAGGTTTGCTAAATGGCTCAGTACAGTTTCTATACACACACAAATGGCTTTAGGGTTTGGAAAATGGCTTAGTATAGTTTTTAGGTAAACACACAACTTTATTCTATTGTTACCCCACAAACGACTGATGACAATGATTTCAGTAATGGTTAAATGTGAGCCCTAAAGGTAAAATATTTACTTTTGTACATTCCCTTACATCGAGCAAAACAAAAAGCCAACAGAACTACATTTTACAGAAATAATAGTAATTTAGCAGTGTCAAAGAAACTGAAAAAACACTATACACTGGGGACTTGATGTGACTTCCTTACTATAAGGATAAGAAATGGTCACATTTCAACTTGGTTTGGAGTCACTGGTTTTTATACTGGAGAAATGTTAGCTTACCTTTACAAAGAAGAACAAGCGATGCCATTAAACTCAGCTAAGATTTTATACAGTCATTTGGATTATTTCTTCAACAAGCATGTTGGCTCAACATTTAATCTTAATTAAGAGTGACTGATCCTGATATGGAAAAACAGATCCCACTCGGTAACAAATACTTTGCTGCACTGTGGACAGGAAAAAATATTTTCTTCATGCTTTCGTCGCATGTGACGAGTCAAGTGATCCTTTCTGCTGAGGGCTTTGCCACATATGGAACAGATAAACTTCTCCCTGCAAGCCACATGAAGCTTCATGTGGCGCTTTAGAACAGTCTTGGATGTCAGCACTTGGTAACATATTTCACACTGTACCACTGGCAAGCGTATGTACTGCTCTGAAATGCCGTAAGACAAAGATATAATATTAATAAACAAAACAGCAGTGAGACTTGGCAGTTAATGCATGCTTATGAATTATCAAATTGTTTGTAGAATAGCTGGTCTTGCTGTAAAACTACAAAGTCATATATGAGACACATACAATATAATTATAAAGAAATTCTGAATATAAATGTGAATGAAAAGAAGATTCTTTTATTAACCTTTCTCCCAGTTCCAGTTTTGTACAATAAAATAAGCTTGGCATAATTAAAATGCAGCATTATATTAGTGTATACAATCCCTATGATTGAGCTGATTGTACAATTATATACCCATTTGAAGGTACCATATAATGAAGAAATATTATAATTAAATAACACAAATTGTCAGTGACCTAATATTTTCTCTGGCAATGATCAAAACTACAATAAATATATATATATATATATATATATATACATATCCACATATCAACACACACAAACCTATCTATCTATATATACATACACACATCAATTTTATCTTATGCTTTCATGCAGATCCACGTTTTTGAATTTCCTGGCAAATAATTATTGAGAGCCCTTTGATGAAACAAATTTTAAACTTTTCCTGAGGTTAGTTATATAAATATATTTGGCAAACATTATACAAGATTAACAAACATTTGATGCATAACCACTGTACCATTCATCCTAGTTATTTTACAAACAAGCTTTTAAATTCTCCCACCTTGTGAAATTTTAACTTCTAACACATATAGACTACATATACACTGCTTTAATCCTCACTAAATATTATTTTCACTGAACTATGTAGAGGTCTTTAAAATTCACACACACAACTATACATACATTCAACCCCAATTAATCCAGTAGTGGATGAAAGGTCATCTTTAGACTCTCGTACGAAAGTGCTAATTACACCCACTACATCATGCAAATTGTGCTAGAATTCTCAAAGACCGGAATTCCACACAGGTATGCCAGTAATGATAAATCAAGCTTGTACATTTTTGTATCTCCAGTATGTGTATTAAAAAATAACAACTGAAACCATGATTTCTGAATACAAATTTCTCTAAAGAATCTAATGTAAAATATAATGAGAGACTTTCTAATGGCTATTCGTACAGATTTGTTTCTTAAAGAACTGATAAACCACCGTCATAAGATTTTGACAGTTTTTTGCATCTTTCCTATTGGTCCACATACCATACAATATGATTTATAAATATAAACTGAAGTTTTAATCTGGAAGTATAAAACAAAAGTATTTTGGTCTTGCTTAAAGAATAAACACAGTTAATTTACCTTACTAAATATGTCACAGAAGAAATCCAATACCTGCTTCCATATTTCTAAAAAATGTAGATGTAACATTTAAAACAAAAATTCCTCTTATAATTTAAACCTTTGGAACAAGTGAAAAAAAAAAGTAACAAAATAAAATTATTTGCATTATTTTGTAACTCACAACTTGTTTCCACTTTGATACAGACAAAATTTCAATAAGGTGTGATCTTTACCTTTGAAATTCAAGGTAATTTAATTTAAATTTCTCTACCACTACATACCTACTCAGGATTTACTTGCATTTCATCATCAGTTTTCAATAGGAAGCTCACACTGTGTGGTGAACAGCATCTACATACACATATTCTTGTGTAGATTTTCATTTTGTCACACACACACACACACACATACATACATATATTTGTTTTAACCATATGATGTTTAAATGATTATGATGTATTAACTTTTTATTTATGAGATGAGCAAGACCTCTAGTCAAAATCAAATGTCACAACAACTGGTAAAAACATTACTTTTACAAACCACAATCAGTGACCTAACCTTTCTTCCACACAGTTTTATGCTTTCATTTTTAATGAAAAGGATCATAAGCACTTTCAGAACAGCCAGAATTCTACATCGTTAGAAGAGAACAGATACAGCATCTTATAAATTTGCACTTGGTTGAAACCATTATGTACATGGCTCATATAGCAATGAAAACTTCATCAGTGGTTTATAATAAACAAAATTTCAAAAACCTCATTTTGTAAGCTGCTAACATCTTTGATACAAATTTTCTTTCACTACTGTCTTTATAATAGGTAAAGTAAATACTGTAGTAATGTAAAGTGAATACACATAATTCAGACATATTCATTTTGATGGAATTTTTATTAAAAAACATGACAAGAGTAGAGCAGACATATGATAAACTTGCTCATTTATATCTGTTCACATATAAGTTTTAAGTCTAAAAAAGAACTAATATCCATAAAATGACACATTTAATCTTGACTAATGGCAGTTGATAAATTGAAAACTATCATACCTGTCTAAAACTATAATTCTGATTTCAAATACATTAACAGCCATTCATTTTTTTTGTTTGATTGATCATTAAGCACATAGCAAAACAATGGGCTATGTGTGCTGAATCCTGGTTTTCATGGTTATAAGCCTTCAGACTTACAGCTGAGCCACTGGGGGACATAATTTTTTTTTCCAATTATTTAAATCATTATAAAATTGTAAGAGTCCCGATAATCAGTTCCATTATTATCAACCATAGCTAATCAATTAAAAACATGACATTTTACATATCTATGGGGTCCTTACATGAACTTTTGCATAATATTTAATCAAATAGAAATTTTAAAAAGCTGTCAATTGTAAATTCTTCCAGTCTTTTGCTTGAAGAGAATTAAATTTATCTCCCCCCCCAAATGGCTCTTATCCAATACAAATTAATAATAGTAACTTGCAAAGGTCCCATGTTTCTGTTGCTTGTGACGGCTGAGGTTATTCTTCCAGTAATAACTGAGGTTACATATGGAACAAACATATTTCTTTCTGGTTTGTGCATGTTTCATCATGTGTGTTTTATAATTGGTCATATTGGTGAACTGTTTACTACAGAGGAAACAGTAACAGTGGTTCAAGGTGGAACTGCCACTTCTTCCTATATAAAAGAAAGATAAATCAGAATGGAAGAAAAAACAAATAAATTAGTGTAATTTTCTATTTCATTCAACATCAACTTATGCAACAAAAACTGATAAACATCATTTAAAAGATTTATGAATTATCCAAAGCTTCCCTTTTTTTTCTCAAAGACTCTGATACAAATTTTTCAACTTATTACACTGGTTAAATGATGAATATCTGTAATTTTCTTTGTATATAATGTGAAATTACTTCCTACCGATTGGAATGAAGGTGGCAACATACACCATATTAAAATTAACATAACTGCTAAAATAGTATATCACATTTATCATGTTACTAAAATCACTCTTATCAAATACACTTTTAAAGATTTCTATGACTAAATAAAATAAACAATGTTTATGTCTATGTTACAAAATATGCATAAGGAAATAAAAAACCATGACATGCATTAAAACTAAAAAATAAATTATGTAATAATTTCTTGGCTTGTTAATTGTTTTAATACAAATTGCTTGTTCTGAAATGTGACCATAATGTAATTCTAAATTTACAAGACTGATTAACTGAATTTGTTGTATAAAACCATCACATGAATACAACTGTCATAAAACAAGTGCTCAAATTGGTAGGGAATCGTTAAAATATCAACTTCATCCCCATATTAAAAGAATCGTGCAAATGAGAGGACCATTTTGAGAGTGAGACTTTACTTGCTCAAAGCATGTGCGTACGGCTAAGTTCGTACTGATTCTCCCTGTAGCAAGTATTACCTCCATCAGTCACTGGTAAGGTTGGTTTTTAGTTTGTTCTTAATGTTACTGTCAAATCTTAATTTTTATTTAACTAGTGACTAACAATGAGGCAATTAAATTCATGGTATAGTATCAGGGTACCAGAAAGTAGGAAAACATGTAGATTCAAGAAATCAATTTAACAGAAAGATATGAAACCATATAATCTGAATACTTTTGACAAGTGAGCCCAGTTTGCCACTGAAGAATAGGTCCACTTATCAAAATCATCTGGGTTATAGGGTTTTGTATGTTAGAGTACTAGATAGTGTACACTTCTTTCATTATATTTATGGAATTTAAAAACTGTATAAAAAACTATTCAAATATTATATTGAACTAACTTGTTCAATTCATACAACACACTAACAGTCTGTATGGTCTAAAAAAATGCATGGAGTTCCAGCTGCAGGTTTCAAACATTGTAAAAAACATTAACACCACTATTTAAAACTAAACATTTTTCTCAAATGAATATTAAAGGTGCAGAAACAAACATTACACTTTATGACTAAGTTTAGAATTAATTAACACTACAGAAACAAGCTTTTTAATGTACACAAATCTTGTATACATCTACATTATATATAAAGTTTGATATAGTAAAAGAAGCACAATCTATGTCTTTGTTAAAGGCGTCTACTGTTTGCCCAGTGTAAGGAGCCTGTTGGTATATAGAGGATTTTACATCAATTCTTTGGTCCTGGTAATGTATAAGAACAACAGTGTACAACACAACTACAGTCATTATTTCATAAGCATATTAATTAATGTACATCCAAAGATACAATAACCCTTAACCCATTGACTTTGGCTGCTCTAAGCTCATTTAGAATTTTTGTAACCAATATATAGCACACATGCATTCAACTGCCAGAAACAGACCTTACTCTACACAGCAAATCAGCAGTCAATGGGTTAAAACTGCCATATTACCAGCACATTAAGTATATTAACCTCAAAAAAAAAGTTTACACCTATCATATATACCTGGAAAAAATTAAAAACAGCTATGCACAGCTTACAAGTTTTGTTCAGAATTTATAAATAAATTGAAAGAATGATGAATAAAACTACTGGCAATGAGCAGTTTATCAGTTATTACAATAGATTAATAATTCAAGTATATGTTTGGCTAACATCATTCCCTCAACTTGCAAACATACATTTTTTCACTTCAGTAATGATGCATAAAATAATTTTTAAATCACATTCAAAACTTAATTTTTCATATCACCTTCTTTATTATAAACAAGATGGTCTCTCATACTATGATGAAGATACAAAGTTTTTTTTCCCCTCAAAAGTCAATTTATTGTTGTTTTTGTTATTAAAGATTATGGAATTTACATTACATTGATAATAAAAAACCAGCAGATATTTATAAAACGGATTTTGAAACTATTACACAAAAATGTATAAACCAAATAGCAAATGGACTTATATAATAAATTAATCTGAAGTTAATAATTTACATAAATTGCTAGAACTCATTTTACTGAATATGCACAACACGGACATGTTTGGTAAGCATGTTTCTGCTGATAAACCTTTCCTTACAGATTTTACACTGATGTTTCTTTAGTTCTTGATGATAAGTTTTGTGTCGATACAAGGCAGTAATTGAAAGGAAAAACTTGAAACAAATTTCACAAGTGTAAGTCTTTCCTCGATGTCTACTGTCAATATGACGGTTTAAATTTTGCTTGCCACAGTATGTCTTTCCACAAACAGGACAGCAAAACTTTTTTGAAGGACTTCCAGATACATCCATTATCCAAGCAGAACCTATAGAACAGTAAAATATTATGAGTATCTGCTAAAGTTCTTAATGTTTTTCCTTATCTTCAACATAAACCAATGAAATACACATGGGAAAACTTTCACACACTTACAATTACTTACTAACATTTGTGAATGATTTACTCTCTCACCTTAACTCTGCATTTCTGATAAATCAACAGGAGAAATGTCAAATGTTGTTTAAGATCAAACCAAAATATGGTCTTTGTCATCTTCTTTCACCCATTTCAGTGCAATTAAAATATATATAAGTATTATAAATAACAGGAAATAAACTACACACAAAGAAAAGAACATATGTCACATGCATGTCTCTTCCAAGCAACTTGTAAAACTTTGATAAAGTTTAGACTGTATACAGATGGTTAATTCTTTACTTTTATTAAAAACTAGAAAGCTTAAGAGAGAAGCACTGTTAGAAAGACAAATACCACCCCAAAATTGTTAAAATAATCATGACAGCCTCTAAAAGCAGTTTATCACATTTCAACTTTTCTCCATTAAATGTGAGGTGGGATCTTTGTATTTACTCACTTCAGTGATAAATGATACAACAGAAATAAATAATTACTCAAAATTTTCTTGTGCATTTTCCCAAGCCAAAGTGTACATTAATGGTAAAAGAAAAATGAATATGATATGAATTCCCAATACCAGAGGAATGTCACAGTAAGTGTTGTGATTCTTATGAATTCTCAAAATCAATGTTCCGATACCATACACGAGATAAAATATACAAATATTATAACAAGTTATCATGGATAAAAGTTTCATCATTCATAAAAGAAATTCTTGGTACTTGTGAATTTAAGAAATAAATATTTTTATAATTGCATTGATAACGCTAGATATTTGGCATGTCTGGATAATGAAATAAAAGCTTTTACAAATGCTGTAATTTCACTAATATAAGTAAAATGAAAATAAACAAGAATTTCTCCTCAAAACAAACAAAAATAATTATTTTTATTACTAAAAAAGAAATTCACAATTAAACAGATAGACAAAAGAGAACAAAAAAAGAATATAACAAACATACCTTTTAATGAAAAGACTAGTCATATTTTCAGCACTTGTGATAATTATGATTTGAAGCCAAAATAAAGTATTTTGTTGTCAAACACATTACATTATTTTTCTTCTCCTTCTTCTTTCAAATATTTGTATGAATGAGCATGATTATTATAATACTACAGTATTACCTTCAACACTAATATGTACAATCTAATTAATTGTTGATAATACCATGACAACCTAGAGTGTGGTTTTGAAGGTTTCCCCCATACATGAATGTCTTATGACAATACTGGCATTCAAAACGTGACACACCAGCATGTGACTTTCTATGACGATAGAGAGCTGTGACATACATAAATGTCTTCGAACAAATATCACAACGGTACTCCATTTGCCGATGTGAATCCATGTGGCGCTTCAATGTCAACTTACGACAAAATGTTTTTCTACACACAGCACACTGATAACCTTTAGTAACACCTGGTGTAGAGTTGTCAAAAAGCTGCCGAGTTGAAAGACCTGGAAGATTTAATCCAAGTTATTTTCTCTTTCTTTCAAAATAAAGACACATACTGATATTTCTGTATAAACTTGAAAAGTTTTACTGTTTAAAAGCTAAATAGAAATAAGGTATAAACAAATTCTATTCTAGGGAATAATTTAAAACCAGTTGACTAAACTTAAAATAGTAAACTTATTTGTTCAATTTAAAAACTTTGATGCTGAAGTTAAAATTATTTCTAGCCAATCATCAGAGTAATAAATTTGTGGTATCATGAATAACAATTTCCAGGCCATATGTATGAATGGCATCTATTATTAAATTCAAACTAAAAAAAAAAACTTGGTAACAGTTTAGAAAACAGTCTTCATAAATCAAAAAGATGTACAGCAAAGTAAATGGCTGCGTGCAAAATTTGGTGGCTTACTATGTATTCTAACATTTCTGTCGGTTTCATGGAGTGTTTGATTACATTTATATGAAGAATGTCTGTTCAAAAAACCTTTATTTACTTTATAAATGAAAATAAATAAACATATACAATATATAATAACAGTGTATAATTTCTGAGCTTTTGGTGCACAATCTTTAAAACAATCAGTGTTAGGTAAGAGTATAAAAGAAAAATCTTCAATCAAGCAAAAATTGAAAAATCTGAATATGTTGCTTAAGAAGCCAGAGATGGATTACAACTTTTACACTCTTGTGTATTTTCTAGAGAATAAATCAAATATTCATATTTTAGAAATTGGTGCTAAACAAAATGTGCGCAACTAATGCATATCTCACAATACTAATAGCCAAATGTACATCTAAAGTACATTTTATAAAACTCATAACTAAATGTCTATATCTTACAATATGTTCTTGCAATAAATTTTCATATATTTATTTGTAAGTGCTGGACAATTTTAAGTTAAAGGAAGTTATCTCCAAACAAAATATTTTTTTTTATATATTACATTTCTGGGACTAGTAATCACAATAGACAAACATTATGATAAATATCTTTCAGTTACAACTGGAACATACTATTGCAACCTGCTTTTATGTAATATCAAAATTTTTATTTCAAGCATTAGATCCAAATGTTTAATAAATAAACCAACTAAGTTTTATCTTTACAAACTCACACATAAACCTAATCATGCAAATTTACACCATGGGTAATCACTAACCACAGTCATTACATATCTTTTTTTTACCCTTAACAAAACAGCTCATTCTCTTACCAGCTTTTTTAACGGGAGTAACAAAACAAGTACTTGATTACACTTTTCTTTTGGGGATTTAGAAATTAGAATGATTAAAAAAAATGCTCATTACAGATTATATTTGAAATTTCATTTCCTATATAATACATTGCATTTACAACAATTAAAAAAATGCTTAAAGTTACAATGAAATAAGAACATTCTCCTCTTTGATCTGTCTTTACAATAAGCAAACTGGTGATTCCTCAAATTAATAATGTAAGTGTAAAATAAAGGAAAATCATAATGCTAAACCACATTATTTAGTTACAGCTTTATGATGACATTATTTTCTTCTTTCATACTGTTTATTTATTGCTAATGGGTCTAGTGTTACAAAACTGAAACCATAGGCCCCGATTCTACTTGACAGTGCCTTGAATCCCCAGATGATGTAGTGAAAAATCAGAATAGAAAACCATGATTGATATCATACAGAAACACCAAACATTCCCACAACTATAGGCCCAAACCACAAATCATTTAAATACCTAGCAATGCCACTGACTGAAACAAAGTCTGATTTCTTTACTATAAGCTGATTAAAAGGTTCTCAGTGGCGAGCTGTTGATAATTTGTGTACCATCCTGACATGTACCAACAGGTTGTCTTTTCTGGAGTAGGAGCTTGAGCAAAATTCACATTGATAATAGACTCTCTGTTGGAAATGTATTTCTTGATGTCTTTTCAGATGCTGCCTCCGAGTGAAGTTCTTCATACATATGTTGCATTGATGATGACGTTTTGATGATGGTGATAATGATCTCATAAATGACATCTGTAACTGACCAACTTCTTCTATCTGACCTGTAAAAATATTAACAATAAAAAAAACAACCATGAAATTGTCTGTATAGCAGGAAAAAATTTATTTGTGAAAAGTTACCAAAAGAATACTAAGACATTTTAAACCACAAGAATAAAAGAGAAATCTATTTAAGAATTGGCAAGTGCCTGACATGACAAATACTGTAGCAAGGTAGACCTTACAAAGTATGAATATTTAATAATATTAAATCATGCAGTGCTTCGTTGTTTCTATTAAGGTTCAAGGTCTTGTTTTTTTTCTTTGTTTGGTACACCATAACTCGATGACAAAACATTTATTCAATTGCTTTAATCACATGACACATTTGAGTCTCACCCAAATAGACTTCTTTGTTTTATACAAATATTAGTAGAGATAGAAAAAAAAAATTATCCTGAAACCAAAAACATCACAATTAGTTAAAAAACTGAATTTTTAAATATAAAACATAGCAAAGCCCATCACATTTCAACTACTTACACTCTTATTTCCAAGTCACTCCACAGAATGAACTTAAAATACAATTAAAATATAACAAGTTTTCTATACATGTGTTAACCTAATTTATACTTAAATTGACACAATTATAGTAAAATAACACTTTTTTTTTTTGGCCTTATAATGCTTCATACACACTATCAACCATACATAGGCAACTTAGACGACAGGTGAACCTGTTATAAGTGTTAGAGGTTTGGTTAACTTTTCACACAACTTACCAAAACTTTTTTTTGATTCCACATGTTGTTACTATCATGAACATTAATTCTACAATAATAACCATTATCAAGTAGTAAAGCTTTGTTCAAAATTCCAACTAAGTTATATTTACTGGCAATTTTATAATGTCGTACACACTGTACTTGTATAGATAATGTTAAAATAAAAACACCACGAGAAAAAATACTTCCTTTTCAGGCAATTGTACGGTAAAAACTTTTATAAAATATGTCTTTACAAGTATACTTTATGAAATTCACTGAACAAACGTACAACAATACATAATCGAAACAGGAAAAGATTATTTATTGCATGTATAAAAATGTTTAACACAAACATTCAAAAGTACATATTTGAAAATAAAGTCACAATTCCATAGACATACATGGACTTGGCTTGATTTCACCTTAATCATCTCTCTTAATGAGACTCAAAATGACATTGAAAATGTCTGAAGCAAAGGCTGATCCAAAATTTGAAACTATTGCCCAGAAAATTTTTCTGGTAAAGTCAGAGAAAAAAGAAATAATACAAAAAGGAAAATTTGACTAAATTTCAACTGAAAGATAGTCCACTGATGACAATTCAAAAACATAATCACTTAATTGTTAGTTATGCAAGCCTAATATAAGCACTTTCTTTATTCTGAAGTAACAAAAATGTACAACACATTTCTAAAAGTTTAATTAGGACAGTATTTTTGAATCTATAAACAATGTACATGTGGACCTTACATTTACTTTATACACATGTACAGTAATGAAAATTAAAGTTATTATTACATAAAATGCAATTGGCTTTAGTCATAAATCTGTCTAAGTAGTAAGTATTTATCCTTTATGATATCTGTGATACTTAAATTTCTATTTTTATCATTCTCATCTTCAAAATTACAAATTAAAGACTTTAAAAGCCTTTCAAGTTTAACAAATCTACTTAAAAATAGGAATAATACCACCAAACTGTATATTACACAATCACTTAGATACCAAAGATGAAGCTGCTGATTTAAATTGAAGAGTACATTTATTTTAGATCTGCTCTTGTCTATCACCACATCTCACTTAGTGTCTCTCATATATGACATTCCACCTTGAATCATTCTCCTAACAAATGAAACCCTCTGCTTAATTTAAACCTTCTTAGATTTTAGAAAGTTGAAATCAGTATATATAATTAAACAACTTACAACTCAATTCAGTTACAAGAATAATCTTGTCTAGTACAATTCCAATACAACTAAAAGGAAGAACTCTGAAATACTTTGTAAATTTTATAGATATGGGTGGTTCACAAATGAGGTACATAAAAGTTCATAAGATTTTTAGTTTAACTTCAAATAAATGTTCTTACCTTTATATAAACAGTTCTTATTAAACCATGATTATTCTTACACTCGTTTAAAAGTTTACCACATAGGAATACTGTAAATACATTTTACAAGTAAATTTAATTATTTTTTATATAAAGTTTCATCAATTTCAGTACAAATGATATATGGATGTGTGAAATAAAACAAGTCATTAAAGCTTTACAGCTAAAGTTCACTATTTCTTCAACTTCACACACTTTATATATCGTTTTTTAAACATTCTTGCTGAACTCTCACTAATAACTTTATTTAAAATGTGGCTATAATAAACAGCTGCTTTTGTGTTGCCGTGCTCTGCAGCATACTTTCCAATTAAATCTCTTTCTTGTTGGGTGTACTGATTATAACGATCTCTCTTCCTTCTTCTTCTTCTAATATTTTTCCATATGTCTGAAAATCAGAGGCACTCAATGTTATGAAATGCATACATTTACATTTATTATAAAGCTAAAAAAAAAACCTGTATCTTTTCAATTTAGACAATTTGACCATAAATGTGTACAAATGTTCCAGACACATAAACTGTTATTCGTAAACAAATCATAGAATTAATGCAAGCTCCATCCAAAGTCAGCAGATTTATTTGTCACACAAATAATACATAGAACAAAATTTACAGTATAAACACAAGTACTAATCACAGCTTATTCTTTCATCACATTTGTCTTCACATAGGGGGCTCCAACTTCACCCCCAAATAAAATTCTCAACTGCTTTTATTTCTATTTCTATACTGACAACATGACTCAATTATTCAAGATCTATATAACTTAGAGCACAAATCGGTTACACAGATTATCATTTTTAAAATTAAAATACAATATCTCTTCACTGTCTTTCAATAAAACATATCCTTGGGTTTAGTTTTCCTGCTGCACATCACTTGTTTGTTATTTACAGCTTAGGTTGAAGTTAGTACAAACATAAATGATATTAGCATGTGTTTTTGGTAATAAATTAAAAAACACAAATTTAGATAATGTTTAACCCTAAATAATCTCATTTGTACTTCTAATCTTCTTATATCTTAAAAAATCACACTTTTATTTAAGCATGAAATACAAAATATATATATATATATATCTAGACAAATACTACAAAATATATATATAATTACACTTCTTCATTGTCTTTAAAATATTTCCAGAAAACAATTAAAAAACAAGTGGCATCATGCTAATTATATTTCGTTAATTTAACCTCAGTTAAACAAAACATAAAAATCACATACAAATCTGTTATATACAGCATATATAGTTAAAACATGAACAGTATGAGTGAGATGAAAGTGCATCATAAGAACTATTACTTGTAAATTCACACTGCTTATGGTCATCAAGACTTGTTACACAATACAGTTAAACATTTTGCAACACCAGCATACCAAAATTATCTATTTCATAACTTTTTATGTTTAAGTATTACATTAATTTCAGTGAAAAACAAAACAAAAAAACAATGAATTCAAAGTATACATAACGATTACATTACCTATTAGCAAAGCTTTATTAAAATGGCACAAACAAAATTAGTAACTAATTATTTCATTTTCAAATATCAAAACATTTGTTTCTCTTTCTCACTTTTTAGATAACTTTAGATCACAATCTCAACTAAGACTAATATGGAGTCAAAAGGAATCCTTTCACATACATCCATCTATAACTATCTGACATATTAACCCTAATCAATGAATTTTGTTTTTAATAAATCTCGTTCTTATTTTACATGTAGCCTTGAAGTTATACCAGATGGAAATGTTTAATGTTACATCTTATAAGAAAGTGGTATACTTAAATACGAGGTTCACAGAAAGAATAAACACATACAGCATTTCACATTAATTTTTTTACTTTTTCCAAAATATTAACTAAGAATAGTTTCTGACTTATGACTAGTGCAGTAAGTTTTAACATTGAATTAAATTATTTTTCTTTAACAACTAAATAAAAATATAAATGTAATGTTTAGTTTTACACATTCCTACTAAAGCACAGTAAAGTAATATGCATAACCAATTAAAATTGCCACTTTACACAACTTCTCATTTCTACTTGCTAGAATTCCAGAATTATGTTCACATTAATACTTCATTTCTGTACCGCTTGTTATAATAATTCTAAAATGATCTCAAAAATGATATAGGAACTATGAACTTCCACTGTTCAACCATTGTATTATGGTAGGAATCCATTTAACAAAGTATACACAAGTAAAAATGATTAAATACACTTGTACTTCAAAACATTTTCTTATCTTATAAATCCATAAAACTTTTAAAATTTTAATACACAATAATATGACATCAAACTTTGGAAATTAATCAATCCTCAGTTAAGAAAATCCTGGTATAAGACATCGAATATTCAAACTTAAACTGTTACTAATACAACAAAAATCTGTTTTAAATGCCAATGACAATCAAATTCTATTTACATTGTCTAAGTTGATTTTAGAAACTAATTATCCCATTGTAAATGCTCCAATTAAATTTTAAAGTCAAATATTGTTTAAGTTTTTAAACAACAGTAGTCTTAATTTAAACTTTAGGTCACCTCCTGTCTTTTCTAATGAATAGTTTATATTTATTAATTTTGTTACAACTTCATCAACAATTATAATCTTATTTAAGTAACTACACTCTGTCACTACCCTCTGTGTTTGACTAATTCATTTAAACAGATGAATAAAAAACATATCAACAATTTATACTTACTTGTTTTCTATATGAAGTATAGTGGAGCACATATAAACCAACACTGGTATGTATGTCGGGAAAACTACTTATGTTACAGATAACAGATTGTACCACAAAGAAAAAAAGCACGAAAAACATGATTTTATGCTAAATGCATGTACTTTAGCCAACAATAAACTTATAGTTGACTGTAATCTTAAAACTGTAAAACACACCAGCTTAATAAGTCAGTTGAAGTATCTAATGTGCAGTAATGCCTCATATTGCCAATATTTATTCATTAAAATAAGTATGAATTACTAGACAGTGGTAATTTCATGACTGATCCAAAATTGTAGTACATGTAAGATTAATTACAGGACAAATAGACATGGAAAGACTTTTAAAATGATCTCAATAATATTGAACAGAGATTAAAACTCACATTTTGTCTAATCCCACAACTCTGAAACAAAAAATCTAACTTTCTTTGAAGTTTCTTTCATAAAAATAAAGAATACTGGACTTTTGTATGAAAAAAAAAGGTAGGTAATAAAACATGAAGAAAGATAAAAAATATCTTGAAAAAATAATAATAGATAAGTTTACATATATGATTTTAAAATGTTTACATGGACCAAGTAATTTGATTAAAATATTTTAAGGGAATTTTAAAAATAATAAAATTTACAACTTATAAATGACTCACTTAAGAAATTTAAAAAAAGTTTCATTTTTACTTAAAAGGACTTTTATATGTCAAACAGAAAATATGTTTGCCATTCCTATATCCTAAAAGTTGCACCCAATTAACCCTTTTTCTGTGTAGTTCGGATATATCAGAATAAACATTGATACCCATTGACTGCAAAATTTGTATTTACCTCACAGCTACCAAGAAAAGTTTCCCTCTACTGCAACATGTGGGAATATATTTGAAACATTTGCCAAACCTGCATATATGCTGCCGTGTTCTATGCCATGAAACCTGGATGTTTATATACCTCAGCTGACTGACCAAGTGGTGATGCGCACTTTAACTCTTTGTGTTTTGGAGCTGCTTTTATTGCTTTATATATGAGTTACTTATGTGTTACACATTTGTTAAACTTATCAGTGACTTTCAGGAATTATAGTATATATTCTCTTAGATGCTAATTAATATATGATAGAGGCTTTGAAATTCACCGATATAAGGCATTTCTATGTGGATAATTGACATTTTTTGGGAATCAGCCTGAAAATCAATTGTGCAGTGAAAGCGTTAAATAATTACCATGAGAATCTGCTAATCAAATTAAAAGTTTAATAACAGCAATAGGTTTTACATAAAAAATAGCTAATAAAATAAATCTACTCACATAATAAAAAGTACAGAGAATGAAATTTAATATACAATTATATTTCAAAATATACAAATGAATTATGTCAGTTCATGTATAGAATACACAATGTATAGAATATACAATTATATTTCAAAATATACAAATGAATTATGTCAGTTCATGTATAGAAATTACAAGTCTTGACTATACAAAGAGAACTTCCATCTACTTGGAATTAAAACATCATGTTTATAACTACATTCATAGAATATATGTATCTGTTTATAAATATGATCAAATATCATATTCACCTATGCATGATTTATACTTCAATTGCAATTTACACATTCTAACACCGTATTTAATTAATTGAAGAGACAATACATAATAGAATTATATATAATAAATCTTTACATACACCATAAAAGTACACGCCTTTTGTGCTTTTGAAGGAGAGATCTGTTTACTATAAAGGCCTTGTTAAATCTCATCTCAGGTGCAGCAAACATGTTCATGTATGAAAGTAAAAGAAAGAAGAGAATCTTATTAATGTGATAATATCATAGATTACCCGTAAGGTTAATATAATATCTAATATATATAAAAGCCAGTTGTCTTTTGGTAATGCTCCATTCATGTGTCTCTTAGCAATGACCTGATATTGTTGTCTTAAGTATGTATATAATACTTCAAATGTTCATAAGGGTTGGCTTGAATTCCACTTTTTTACATTGTAGTTTAAGCATATACTTAGCTTGATGTAGGCATATCGAGGTTCTTGGCAAATTTTAGAAACATCTAATAGTGAGGTTAGTGATTATAATTTGTAAGTTTTTATTAGATTTTTGATTTTATTTATTTCTTTTTCCCAAACATATTGTCTTAACTAATGATTATACTTGAAATTAATTTTTAGGTTTAAAATCTGTGATAGAATTTTTATTACAAACCTTAGACCTATTGGTTTTGGGTGCTTCATCTCTTTCAGCATTTGAACCATAATTTTTAGGTTATGTGACATAATCAGAAAAATACATTCTGGTAAATTTGAAATATCAATGGATTTGTGAAATTTTACACTTACGATGGAGCCACTTGAATAAAACAACTTCATGAAATAGATAAATCAGGTATACTTCAACAATTTCTGCTGGACTTGATGGGTCAAAGTTTGGGTGATAAGATTATATTAGTAAGGCCTTGGATTCCTACTGCCTGGAGTTGTTTATTACTACCCCAGATAATAGGGGCTACATGCATGGTCTTGCTAAAAATGTTTGAAAATGCATTATGCAGCAACAACCGAAATGCTGGAAAACTTTTCCATTTTCTTAACAAATACTATTTAACATTAGAAATGACATATAAACATTCTTGATATAGTCATAAGGTGGATAATAAACTGAAAAGTAAAAAGAAAATTTAAATAAGAGTTTGACATGAACTTTGGCATGATACTATTTTTACACAGATTAAAATCTAATATATATATATATATAAAAGCCAGTTGTCATTTTGTGTGTGTAACACTCGTTCTGGGTCATTTTTAATTTAACTTGCACCACTCTTATTGATTTGTTGACAGTGTACTTGAAAATTGTTTTCATTTTTTCAATGTGTGGTTTATGATAGTTTGGTGAACAAGGCTTACTAAAGGAAGGGCAGGGGCTCCCAGATTTTGTTTTTACAAAACTCCAACCAATCATTTTTTGATGGGTTGGGCAAGGCTAGTTTAATCATAATAATTGGTGCTTAAGATCTAACACTATTTTAATTAAGTCTACAAAACTGTTATAACAGCTGTGGAAATTTAAATATGAATTAATATACTTCACTTAACTTTATTATTCAACACATCAACTTAATTTGCTGTGATGATGATTAACATTAGTACTACTACTATTACTAATATTTAGCTCTACAAGTATGGCTGATAACTATATATTTATCCCTGTTAGTAGAACTAACTACTTCTAGTTTGATGACGAGTAACCCACTTTGAGACTAATAATGGCTGGAGACGGCTTGACTGGGTAATGAAGAAAACCTTTAATATAAGTTTAACATAACAGCAAATGTAAATTTTTCGACAAGGTTTTGTCATCATCAGGTACCTTGTCG